GGCTTAGACCCTGTTTACATGAGATAGGGTGCCCCTAGTGGTAGGGCCAAAGTCTTTTGTTTTAAATCCTCCAGGAAAAAGAAAACAAAAGAGTTAGCCCTACCACGTAGGGGCACCCTATCTCATGTAAACAGGGTCTTAGATGCCATTTGTACATTGACATTGCTCCTGGCAGCTTCGGACAAGAATTTTGTTATTTTCTGCACCTTCATTCATTGGCAGCTTGGAACAATGATAAATTGTTCAGATAATGGTTTTAGGGGAAGGGAGGAGGGTCATATTTTGCCTATCTGATATAGGGAGGGTTACACTAGATTTCGTTTCCACTACTCTGGTAGTTCACCTTATTCCAATTACCAACTTTCAAAATACCACCTCAGGAATGCTTCCAACCTATTGAGGAGGCAAATGTCGGCGTTTGCTGGTATTAACATGGATGATTTGTAAGAGAATTAGAAGAAAAAAACAAGAACTGTCAATGTCATTTTTTCCGTCTTTGCATTTTTTTTACAGTCGAACCTCTAATAAGCAGTACTCTATATAGCGATCACACCTTCCGTTATGTGGTCAATCATGAATTCTCCAAATTAAAGTTGCTTCTCATACATATTTATTACAAAGGTTATCTCTCTAAAACGGTCACCTTCTCAGTGTCAAGCGATCAGCTGGTATTTCCCCAGCTGGTATTTTCCATCAGCTGGTATTTTCTGGAATATCTATTCAAATAACACTGAAGTTGGAAAGAACTTGAACCACCTATACTACTGTTAAGCTACTGGTTAATGCTAAAACAACCAGACAGCTTTATTTCATGGAAAACTTAACAAAAAGACATAAAACTTCCTGTCTCATTCCTCCTAAAGAATTAATTTTTAATTATTATGATAGTAAAAAAACGGGAGTTGTTCTCGTCGAACTTTCCATGATTGTTTCTCTTGCCATTGTTTATTGTAAACTGCAATGTATATCTATAAGACAACAAACTTATACGGAGTATCCATAGTAACGTGTTTTTTCTCACATGTGAAAGACTGAAGCCTTATATTCTAAAAATCCTTGTCACACGCGGATTTAATCATCACAAAACCTATGGAGGGGAAAAAATGTTTACGGTTAACGACTTATCCGTCCGTGTGGTGTTAATTCCTTAGCGTAAAGTTAAAAATCCAGTGAAATCGATATTCCTAATGCTAAAGCAAGTCGAAAACTTCAGATATCTTGGTTCCATGGTTGCTGACAGCAGAAGCGACKTCAGACGTCGTCATGGACTTGCGTGGTCAGCTTTTTGGAGCCTAGAAAAGATATGGCATTCAAACCACGTCCCGCTTCAACTAAAGCTCGGTATTTTCAAATCCACCTGTTTATCCGTCCTACTTTATGGTTGCGAGACTTGGGTGATTACCAAGGATATCACGTCAAAAATAAATTCCTTTGCAACTTCTTGCTACCGTATCATGCTTGGTATTAGACGAACTGACAAAGTATTTTCAAATCCACCTGTTTATCCGTCCTACTTTATGGTTGCGAGACTTGGGTGATTACCAAGGATATCACGTCAAAAATAAATTCCTTTGCAACTTCTTGCTACCGTATCATGCTTGGTATTAGACGAACTGACAAAGTATCAAACGAAAGACTATACAGCATCACAAATACCAAACCGTTGATGAAATCTATCGTGGGTCGGCAGCTCCAATTCCTGGGTCACATTCTGCGTCTGCATGACGCAGAGCCATCAAAAATCTATGCACTTTATGAACCTCCCCACGGAAACAGACCCCGAGGTGGTCAACGGAAGTTGTACTCTAAGCAAGTCAAGGAATGGATTGATCCAACTGGAAATTTCACCGAATCAGACATTCTACGAACTGCCCATGACCGGGTCAACTGGAAACGTCTTGTAGTCGACTGTGCAACAGCAAAACGATGATGATGATGATGATGATATTCCTCTAATACACCTTGCTTCGCTCGAATTAAATTGCTTTCTTTTGTGTCAATTTTACTATTGAACTTTAATAATATAACATACCTTATACGTGGATTTCATTACACTCTAAAAGCAATTATAATATGTTTGAATTGTGCAATTTGATTGGCTTAAAGAAGTGGTATTTATCCTTAATAGTGGTATTTCAAATTGCACAATTTTATTCAACCATTTTTGAAACAAATAATAGCATGTTTTGTACGTGGAATTTTGGAAAAATACCACTCATGATATTTCAAAATTGACACAAATTTCACTCGGTTCGCACGTGAAATATTATTTGTCAAATTTTGAAATAGTATAAAGCGTGGTATTTATCCCGAATACCACTACAAAACGTGCTAATTACCTATACAAATATATTATCAGTGACAGTCCGGCATAAACCATCTTCTTTTCTAACGGCTGGTTACAAGGTGTTGCGTACCTGTTCGCAGCTTCGCACAACGTCCTGCACACCGTACATTTTGAAACGACCGTTTGAATAACGTAATCTAACTCGATTCTCATCGAGTAAAAAGACAATATGCATTTATCGTTAATTTACTTCAATAAAAGACAGTTTCATGACAAATGGAAGAAATTTCAGAAAATACTGATTTACGTTAGATTTCTATGGCACGTAGAATAACTGCTGCGTTGAACTGTGGGATATAATAAATATTATAAAACTTATTAATAATGCATAAGCTATTGCTCCAATAAGGGCTGACCATTTAATCAGGTGATTGACCTTGTAAATCTGATACAACCACTAGTGGTTGTATCAGATTTACAACACGGTCGTCACCGTGAGACAACCCAACACTAGCAAAGGTCTCAGTTTTAGTGTCGCATCATAGACCTTCACTAGGTTTTGAAGCAATCAAAGACGGATAACAGAACTCGCTTATGCAACAGATGGCTTGCTTTCCATGTGGGATGGATAATTATTCAAAATATTCTGTGTTGCAGTAAATTGCGCATGCTTAATAGGGACTAAACTCAGTAGTTACCTTATTTGTCATTTTTCGTCATTTATCTCACTGTAATTCATGTTAATTTGTGTTGGAGTTTTATAAGTCGTTTACAGCATTCGCGTCCGTGTTGTATGGGAATTACAATCTCTCGCCTGCGGCTCGAGATTGTAATTCCCATACAACACGGCCGCTCATGTTGTAAACTATACATATATCGCAAAACCAAAGAAACCCTTTACCCGATTTTTAGATTAGCGAACAAACATTTATATTTAGCTTTTCTGTGCGCTTTTAAAAATACTTACAATTGGGCGATACTACATTTTCTATAAACTATAATTTCTGAACCTCACATAGTACAGGAAAATAATGGGAACTAGCGGTAAACTAGTGTGGACTGCGTGGGTGTCTCTAAAGAAACAGTTGTGTAAAAAAATAAATTTAACACCGTAAAAAGTAGCTGAAATAAGTTACTGGTATTTCGGACGTTCATCATTCTTCGGAGTAAAAAGAAGAAGACTTGATTTATAAGATAAAGTTGTGCAAATATTGAGTAATCTTGGAAGTGTAACTACACTGTCATTTATGCAGCGACTCTCTGACCCTCTAGTTACTAAGCATGCTCCGACAAATTGAAGTTGTAACCGTTTTTCAAATCAATTAAAAAAGGCCCGGAGTTGTTTCTTTTTTTCATCTCGGCCTGATTTGTTTTCTTCGCCATTTTGGTTTTCTTTTCTTTTTTTTGTTTTCGCAAAGACTCGTACAGTTTAACCTTGTCAAATGACAAGCAAAAACTTAGACGCGTTCACGAATTTGTTTTGGCAACAAGTTCGACAGCTCTCGTTATTTTCTAGGTGCCATCCAAATCGCCCAGAAATCAACTTGTTGTGATCTTCTTCTTTCTGTAAAAAAATACTGTTTTTTATCGCAGTCAATTAGAATAAATATATGCTTTAAAAACTGCAATCTAAATCCAACATTGTCTGTTTATTTGAAGAAAATGCAGTTGTTGTATTAAGTTTATCAAATAGGCGTATTAAAAAAATGGGTTTGCGAGGGAAATACCCCAACGAAGTGTGATATGAAAAATAACACTGATCTAAATGCACTAGTGGATGGTCTTTTGATACTACCGAATATTACTCTATAGTGAATGTCATACCTGCAAAGCTCTGCGGATTTGGTCATTTGGCACAAATTCGTTGACATTTGTGTGGTGGCAGCATTGAAATACACTGAATTCATATCGATACATTTTTTCATCGTTAACATGAATGCTGCCACCACACAAATGTCAAGGAATTTGTGCCAAATGACCAAATCCGCAGAGCTTTGCAGGTATGACATTCACTATAGAGTAATATTCGGTAGTATCAAAAGACCATCCACTAGTGCATTTAGATCAGTGTCATTCAGAGATTGTCATTGACATTGCTCTTACTGGTTCTACTACAAGTTTCAAAGGATACAAGGTAGAGTGCAAACACTAATTTAGTCTAATCTAAACTGTACTGTGTGACCTTTTTCGTAACTTGGTTGTACTTTTTCACGCTTTGAGGTGTCCAAGAATGTTCTGCTTTAGATTTAGTGCAGATTTGTGTTATTGTTGAAACCTCTTTATATTGATCTCGATAGGTACACACTTATATCATAAAACCTTTAATGATTCAACAGTATTAACTTTATGTTTTTTTTTTTATTTCCTAAAAACAAAAACAGACACACAAAACAATTAACATTAAACATCACATTTTACGTACCACTTATGAGCACTTATTTGTGGCAAAACACACCACTTCACGTTGGAATTATGCAAATTCCTTTCTTTTTCATTGTCTAATCTACAATGTATTGCGACCTTTTCCGTCACCTGGTTAACACCTTTTCACGCTTTGAGCGTCAAAAGATGTTCTTCAAATTTATTCAATTTCAGTTGTTTTGCATAAAAGGTGCATTCAATATATTCCGGAATCTAGACTATTTTCTCCATGTCTTTAAAGCATTTATTTTTGATAAAACAGAGATGAAAGGTGCCAGGATTCTACCATTGTTGGTCTTGTTGGCACTTGCTTGCTTCGTGATGGCGAACAATGAAACGCTGCCGGTAAGAGATGAAAATGTGCACACACTTGTGTTGGATGAAGATCGCTAAAAATCATATATATATTATATAATATCTGAAATGGTATCCCATAATTTCTAAGGCTACTTTGATATATGAACATTAGTGTAGGGGGGTCAGAATTATTGCAAACGGCTGTGTGTATATATATATAAAGTAAAATTTGTTTGTACTTTATTGATAATTCATTGAGAACAATGTTGAGTCTATGGATGTGTTGCTTTTGTTTTGTTTTGAGTTTTTTACAATTTCGTTGATTTGACTTCGCAAATTTAGGTATACTGTCAAATTCCTATTGGATGATGTGGCATATACACCTAATTACGAAAACGTTGTCCTGAGATTTAGGGATTTAGGAAATTAAGAATACATTAAAAGACAAAACATGACCACTGAAGCCGAACACTTTCTTTTGTATTTTAGTTAATTCCTAAATAGTAAAAGTTCTTTTTTCTTGTACAACGTTTGTGTAATTAGGTGTATGTCTTTTCGCTTCTTTTGGAGCCGTCTTATGTGAAGATATAGCTCCAAAACAAGACGTTTCCCCAATTGAAAAGTGTTCAATTGTTTAGAAACCAGGACTTTTTTTCAAGCTCGGACCTGAAGGTCTCCTGACTATTCTGGGTTGCATCAAGCATGTTTACGGTTCCCTAATACTTATTTCTACTGCTATTTATTGTGTCATTATTATTATGTTATTCATTTGATTATTTTGTAGGAGTTAAAAAAGTCCAAGGGACATGACCAGTTACTAGGTACTAGAATAGAAAAAACGAATCTCTTTGACTTGTCTTGAATCCACGGCTCAGTGTTAGATTCAGTCTCGCCGTCTCGCAAAATTTCAAATACTTTTACTAATTATAAATACTCGTTGTTTCATCCTCTCTTGAAAGGTGATTCGGAAAGCGAGCTGAACCGTAAACTCCTTGAGCTCGCAGCGCAAGAAGAAGATACTGAAGAATGGCGTAGAAAGTTCAAAAAAATGGTAAGAGTTTCTGATGTATTGCGTGACACTGTAGTGCACTCATGATATTCGTGACATCGATCTCACGGTGACAGTGATATATTTTTGAATTTTGTAGTCCCAGGAGTTGGCTAAAAAGAAGGCAAACCAGGACATCCCTGACAAGAATGATGAACAATACAATAACCAGTCAATAACTGAGCTCCAAGATGCAGGTAATGTTTTCATCTTAAAAATATAAAATTACATTCAATATGCAATATTGTCTGTCAGAGATTGTGGTAGAAAATAGAGAATTACAAAGTGCGATAGAATTGATAGGACTCTTTATATATTTCGACTTTTTTTTACTTTGACGTTTTCTACATGCAGCTTCTAATAAAGATCAACTCATCAAGGCAGTCCGAACAAAACTTACAGCATTCAGCGGTCCATTGTCATCTCCTGCTAAAAATTCATTAACAAGTTTAGATAAAAAATGGTACAGTCTCTCCGATGATAGCAAGAAAGGAGCCCTAGACACATTAGGTGTCATATCCTCAAACATCGAGGTGTTTGGCAATGCTGGCGAAGACCCTGTAGGTGCAATAAGAGGAGCTATTGACATCGTTGCCTCCATATCCAGCAATTTTGGACCAAAAGGCCAGCTTGCAAGTGTGGCTCTAGGCTTTGTCTCTGCTATACTTGGCTTATTTGGTAAAGGACCGAAACCGAAGCCTTTGAGTGAAGTTGTCAGAGAGCAGATAGATGAGGCTCTGGCGCAATATCGCGAAGAGGACCTAATTAGAAAAAAGAATGGTCTGGTATATGCATTTCGACTCACTAAAGCGTACTTAGACGGAGCTGCAAGGTCTGGTAGACGCTTAAGTGATAAGGGAGCGGTTGCGGCAACAGTTGAAGTGGGAAGATCAAAAGGTGTAGCGTTTATGGGAGAGCTCGTCAGTGAAATAAGGGACATGTTCCGCAAGAACAGTGACGCAAGAAAAGCCATTAGATATTGTGAGATGTACGCACAGTTGGCTTTATACCGTGATATCATCTTGACACAGTTCATTGGCATGCTTCCACTCACTAAAGATTTGGAAAGTCACCTGGATGGTTATACATCCGATCGAGATACGTTTAGAAGTATGTCACGAGCGGTACTTGGCAAACTTTACGAAGTCAACTTCGATAATGCAATCATTCCCTATTTTGATCCAGAGGTCAGCGTCATTACGGATGCTTTATCCACTAAGCTATTGAATTTGGGTAAATACGATCGTTCCATGGCTGGTCTGCATTGCCTTATGACCCCAGGGACAACTGGACTAGAAGATCTTGATTGGCAAAGAGGGGATAAGAAGTTCAAACCTGCTGGCAATCCATACACTACATCGGTGAGGCAGGACAACAGCCGCTGTTACTGGAAACTTATACCACACCCAGGTCACACGTACACCATTCTGAATATGTACGAATGCAAACGGAAGTGGGACTACTGTGGCTCGATGTTATCATGGACAACAGTTGATGGCAATGCCTATGTAGACCTCGACTCGGGTGACCCTGTTTTGTGGGAAATCCAGGGCAGTGACTGGAAATTGTAAGTTATGTTAGCCTCTGACAATAATTCTAAAATTTGCATTGACTATAAAAGTTTTCAGGTTATTTAAAATAGTAAAATAGTTTCTAACAGAAAATAACAAAACTTTAATTTCTTTAAATGCTTAATTTTCAATCCATTTCAATCCATCAGTTTTACTAGAGAATGTTACAATATCCCAGTAACTATGGAGCAAAATTGTGTGTTTTCAAGGGATATGAATTGTTGATGGATATACATCCTTATTTTTTTCTGTTTCAAAGTATTCGAAACAAACAGGGCTGTGGTAAGAAGAAAAGTAAATGGTGCAACTTCCATCTAAGGATTCAAAACCGACAAATTACAACATTAATCGTTAGTCCGTGGCGTGGAGCTCGTAGAATTACGACCAATAAACGAGTTGGGCAACTGGTTCCTTCAAATGGCAAATACTACTGGAAGACAAGAAGGGTAAGAAGCTAAGAATTTTTTATCAAGCGTGCTATGGGCCTCCTTCTGCTGCACAAAGTTACTTTAATATCCCAGCGTGTTTATAACACAGAGTGCGTTGTTGCTATTCATACTGAATTGTTCTTTTTTCTTAAAACTTTTAGGCATGATGATTGACAAGGCATCAATCTTCAAAATAAAAGATGCTTATGACAATAGTGATAATGATAATGAATGCTTGTCGAATATTGAATCGTGTGTTTAATAAAATTCAAACGTTCATTCAATAATTTCATCTTGTTTGAAATAATATATAACTATAGCCATACGGAGAACAACTTGGTTGGGATGTCTTGTTCCTTTTTTGGTCACTATTCATTTCTTTTTCTTTATCTTATCTTTTTTTCTCTTTTTTTTTGGATGTTTACATTTTAAAACTTTTATTTTTGTTTAGGGATCAAGGCAGCCAAATATGACGTAATACATTTGTGACGTAATAAATTTGTGACGTAATACATTTATGACGTAATACATTTGTCACGTACAATCAAGGAAAATCATAATCAGAACACAATGAAATAAGAGCAAAAGATTTGTAAAGATTGTTTCATTTTAACCAAATGACAAGTAAAAACATTTTTTAGTAGTGTTTAAAAAACGAGCAGGAGTGCTTTATCGGGAGATAGAGATATAGTGTCTATATCCCCGATAAAGCACGACTGCGAGTTTTTTATACTACTTCTAGAACTCCAACATCCAGAAATTGTTATCATTTCAGAAAAAAGCTAAAACAATGCGAAGAAAACTTATACTGAACATATGCATTTGTCACATATGAAAGAATTTTGATCCCACACGTAAGAACGGCTAGTCTATGCTATACTGCATATCTGCACATTGATTCAAACTGATTTAAAACCTAGCAAAGGTCTATGATGCGACATTAAAACTGAGACATTTGCTAGTGTTGGGTTGCGATAAAGCGCTGATGACCTTCAACATCAGTTAATAAAACATCAGTGCTTTATCGGGATATAAAGGTCCATCATGTGACCCAATAGTTCGATGCTCATTGGACTAATAGCTCATGAATTGTTAATGAGTTCTAGAAGACGTGTTGAAGAATTTGTTTTGGCAGCTGCACGGTGGACAACGCACAAAAATGCAGAACCTGAAGACTTATAGAGTTATATATAAGCTCTCGTTATTTTCAAAATTGGCTATAAGAATTTCCTTGGTTCTTTGTTGTATATACCATATAGTTTAACGAGGTACTTTTGATTTTGTTAGGACTTTTAAAGTTTGAGATCGTCTAAAATTTCCCCGGAAGTTTTGTTTGTTTCCATATGTGCCATTTCGCAAACACAAATCAAATCAAATAATAATAAATATGCCAAGTAGTTCAATTGGCCTTTCCAAAATTCAAAAAAATGAATTGTTATGGAGTTACAATATCGACACAGTTTTAAGCAATCAAGAAACCAATTCCAAGACGAGAAAAAGAGCATGGATACTAAGATTAGTAGGGTTACCCAGTTTGAGCCTATTCACATACAATAAACCCGGCTTGCACGATGGTCAGTTTCCGCAGGGCTTTTTCTCCTACAAGCCTCAAATGTTTTCAGTTTTAGACCATAGACAAAAGGGGAAACCAGCAAAATTTATGAAACTTCGCAGATCATCTAATTTTCTCTGAACCCCAGTATTAATCTAACCATTAGAGAGTTTTAGCATCACGTTGACGGCAAACGGCTAACGGCAGAGCTGAACCAATGACCTAAGAATTTCGTGCCCGACCTTGTGCTTTTGGTAGTCATTTGAAAGAGCGGCTTTTCACGATTATGGCAACCACAAAATAATCCGCTCTCGCGTTGAAACTGCAACGTTAAACTCAAAAAAAGCAGGTCACGTGATCTTTTCTGCCGTTTGGCGTTTGCCGTGAACGTCATGCTAAACCTCTCTATTGACTTTAAAAATATACCGATAAATCAAATTCTCCATCTTTGAAAAATGAAACGAAGCTTTTTTAGCGTTTCTATATCTTGCGACTAAGTGTTTAGTTACCTAATAAACATAGGTAGGTTTTCGTTGGGTAGAACCACCAGAAACAACCAAAAAAACTATTGCAGGTTAAGTTGTCAATGTCAGGTAGTGAGTAGTAAATTACAGAGGAATAATTCTATTGCATAAAACGGTCACATGGCAAAATAATTTTACGGCCTTAAGTTAGGGCTTTTTTCATGATGCTGTTTAGCTTACCTGTCTGACAGGCCAGGTTCTCCATCCCGCATGTAACACCTGACGATGCATGAAATCTTAAGGAAATTTTCCACCACATAGATTCTTTATACATACATCAGTACTTTCAGAGAACAATGCGTCCGCCATCTTGAAAAGTGCGACTAGAATCACTAAATTATAAATCCTAAAAGAATTTGAATTAAAAATGATTCTCAGCTAATGGCAAGTTATTATAATGCGATATAATGATAGATTAGATGACTGAGAAAGTACAAAATGTGTTCTAAGGCACAACATAATGATTTGGGTGTCACTTTTCGAGATGGCGGACGCATTGTTCAAAAAAAAAAAATCCGTATCTTTGCGTGCCAATGTAAATATCCTCTATTAATTATATCCATTTTAATATCACAAGTGAATCCTGCAATCTGATTGGTTCTTAGCAGGTTGATTTCAGCCTAAATAGCACCATTTTTAATTCTTAATCGCACTCCTTTGAGGAGCCAATCACAATGCAAAACAAGTAACAGGATTGTGTGTGGTTAACCAATCAAACTACAGCAAAAAGGACACACAAAAAGTACATTTTTAGGTTTTACAGCAAATATTTTTATGAAAATATATGTGCAAATTGGATTATTTTAGTTCTTACTTACAGTTTTAGATGACAATGTACTATCTCAGTGTAATTTTCCATCATTTGCTACTTCTAAATCCTGACGAAAGTGTAATTTACAGTCCGAAAATGTCAGAAATGTTCAACAAGAGATGTGTGATAATAATGAATACATACTGAACATTGAATCTTATGCATAATAAAAAAAACATTCTGTAACTATACAAAATCTAGTTTAGCATTCTGTGATTATGAATGAAATGAGTACCAAGATCAACTAGGTTGGAATGTTTGTTTTGTTTTGTTCTTTTTTCTCTCTCTCTCTTCTTTTTTTTTTTAAATCGTCAGCCAGGAAAGCTACCAACCTATAGATTTTCTATTGAGGTGTGCTGACTTTAGCATGGTTGAATTGTAAGAGAATAAACTTGAAAAAAGAAAGACAAAGCAAACTGTAATGTATTTTTTTTTTTTTTTCGTTGTTTTTTTTTTTTTTTACAGTCGACCCTCTAATAAGCAGCTGTCTATTTAGCGATCACATTCCGTTATGCGTTCACTCATGAATTCAACAATTTTTAATTTTAATTGAGATGGAAGACGCCAGGCTTCTTCCATTGTTGGTCTTGTTGGCACTTGCTTGCTTCGTGATGGCGAACAATGAAACGCTCCCGGTAAGAGATGAAAAATGTAAATGCTAACAATAAAAAGAGGCAGCTCAAATCTGAATCATAGTATTCATATAGACACAAAAAGTAT